ACCAGAATAACATGATTGAGAAAACAGAAACTCAGAGCGATAAAGGGAACAATCAAACTGGTTTTGCCCTATTGACATCTGCCTAACTCAAAGTTGAACTTGAATTTTGATGATCTCTTGAGAGATAACACAAGTCAGAGGTTAAAACCCACTCAACACCAACAACACCAACAAACAGTGACCCATTCTCCATAAGCCTGGGATCCCTAGTTTCAGAAAAAGAGTGAACTTTTTTTTTCAGATAAATAGTGAACCAGAAATAAATCCAGTCTACCCATTCCATCTTATCCTCAAAGAGAACAAGTTTGTCTTTCTGTTGCAGAAGAAAACAAGGATCCTAATAGGTTATAAAGTTAAGTTGGCTCCCACACATATTTGCAACCCAAATTTATCCTATTTGGGCAGTTTAAAACCTCAAGGGACGAATTTGCTCACCAAACTATAGAATTTTGAGGCATCTTTGAAAAAAGGTTAATGTTCTTAAAGCAATGCATTTCCTTCTTGGGCCACAAAAATTAACTCACAAATATTTTTTCTGTAAGCATTCTCATGGTCAAAATATCACACAGGATAAATAAAAAGAAATCTACACCTAGGTATGGTCTACAAAATGTCAAAAAATTAAAAAAAAACAACAACCCAAAGAGGTCAAAAGTAGCCAGAAGCAAGAAAGACAGAGTCATTCAAATGAACAATGGGGCAGTTGATTTAACAACAGCAACAATGGAAACCAGAACAGAGTAGATTTATTTCTTCCAATGGTTTGGAAAAAACTGTCAAACCATAATTTTATACCTAATGAACTATCTATCAAGAATGAGGGTGATAAAGACACTTTCAGACAAAAAGCAGAGTTTACTGTCAAAAACTTCCTTAAAGAAAATCCGAATGAAAAAATATTCAGAAAGAATGTGATCCAGATGGAGGGCCTCCCTGGTAGTGCAAGGGGTTAAGACCCAACCTATGAAGCTATGTGCAGCCACTGCAGCACAAGTTTGATCCCCAGCCAGGGAACTACCCACATGGCGCAGCAGACCTCTCCTGTCTTGCCTGCTGCTCCCCTCAGCAGTGTATTTCAGTAAATCTGCCTGTTCTGTTCCCCGCTCTGTCTCTGGTGAATCCCCTCACCCCCACACCTCTGGCCTGTACCCCAGTTCTTGTATGCATAAATAAATAAATCTTTGAGAAAAAAAAGTGTGATCCAGATGGAAAAATCTGAAAACCCTAGAGGAATCACAAAGTTGGAATTAACATCAAATTCATAGTTCACTGTCACTATTTTCTGCCACAAAGACTGAAGAGAGAAGAGTAGGAAATAAGTTAACAGCAAGAGGCAGAAATGGACCCACAATAGAAAAAGGAGTAAGGTCCTAGTAGCATTCTAAGTCACTAATCCAGTTATTCCTAAGACTAGATGAAATCTTCAACTTGATACCACTATCTTTATTATCAAATTATGCTTTCACTTAAAAATTATAGAAAGGAGAAAGGTCAGAAATTAATGAAATAGTGGGCCTCCCCTGGTGGCGCAGCAGTTGAGCGCTGGGCTGCAAGGCTGCCCACAGCCTCTGCAGTGCCGGTTCATTCCCCGGCCACCAGCGAGGGTCCCACAAAAAAAAGAAAAAAAGAAAAAAAAAAAGAAATAGAAAATATACAATATAAAAAATCAAAGTCAAGCACTGATTTTTTGATAAAGCTAATTATATATATGTGTATATATATATATATATACACACACACAAACACACATATACATAAAACCTCTATCAAGAGAGATTAAGGAAAAAAGTTAAAGACACAACGAACATTAAGGATAAAAAAGAGAAATATATAGACAGCAGAAGTTAAAATATAACAAAAGAATGTTTTGAACAACTTCATGCCAAATACTTAAAAAATTCAAAATTACAAAATGGATGGATTCCTAAAAGCAAAATAACTTTCTAAAAACTGACCTAATTAGAAACAAATCCTAAATAAGCCTACTTAGAAATGCATATCCCTCTCCCCTGCAAAATACTAAGTCCACACCCTTCCCAACGAATATTAAACCCAGATAACGGAACAGACTTTCAACCAAACTTCTAAGAAATAGATCACTCTAGTCTTACATAAATCCTTTCAGAGGGGGAAAGAATTAGTTCCTAACTCATTCTTTGAGTTTGGCATAATCTATTACTAAAATCAAATAAGGACCATACAATAAAAACCTTGAGCCAATGTCACCTGTGGACACAGATGCAAAAATCCTAAATGAAATGCTAATAAACTAAATTCAGGTGTATAAATAAAAAATTATCGGGCCTCCCCGGTGGCGCAGCGGTTGAGCGCTGGGTTGCGAAGCTGCCCGCGACCTCTGCAGCGCTGGTTCGATCCCTGGCTGCTCCCCGGCCACTGGAGGAGGGTCCTACATGGCGCGCAGACCTCTCCTGCCGCCCGCTGCTCCCCTCAGCAGTGTACTTTGGTCCTTCTGCCTGCTCTGTTCCCCACTCTGGCTCTGGTGAATTCTCTCACCCTCCTGGGCTTCTGACTGTACCCAGTGCATGTATAAACAAACAAACAAACAAACAAATAATACATGCCTCTTTAAAAAAAAAAAAAAAAGAAAAAAATTACCATGTTGAAGCTGGGTTCATTCTAGCAATGCAAGGGTACTTCAACATTAGAAAATCTATAAATGGTCACCACATTAACAGAATAAAGGAGGACAAAATAATCATCTCGCAAATGCAGAAAAAGCATCTGACAAAATTCATTCTATACACACACACAAACACAAATCAGCCAACTAACCATAGAGGTCTTTATCCTACAGAGAACCTATCAAAATTCCATAGCAAACGTTCTTTTTTTAAAAAAAAAAAAAGATTTTTATTTATTTTTGCATACAAGAACTGGGGTGTAAGCCAGAGGTGCAGGGGGTGAGAGGATTCACCAGAGACAGCGTGGGGAGCAGAACAGGCAGACTGACTGAAACACACTGCTGAGGGGAACAGCAGGCTGAGACAGGAGAGGTCTGTTGTGCCATGTGGGTATCTCCCTGGCAGGCCGGGGATCCAACTCATGCTGCAGTTGCTGGCAACAGCTTGATAGCTCTGTCTTTAATCCCTGTCCCCCCCCCCCCCAGGGAGGCCCAGCAAATACTATTCTTAATGGTGAACATAAGGAGCACTTCCTTTTAAAAATTAGGCGCAAAACAAGGATGCCCACTGTTAACACTTACATCAAATACAATACTAAAAATCCTAAATAGCATGGCAAGGCAAGAAAAAGAAAAAAATCTAAGCATTGAAAAAGACGAAACAATTTGTATTTAAAATAGTTCAAAATAATTTAGTAAGGTAGCTGACCATAATTTAAAAAAAACTTTGTATCAGCAAATAGAAAACGGAAAGGGAAATATACTATGTACAATAGTAACAAGAAGATATCTAATAATTAAATCTAAGAGAAGACTTAAGAGATGTTTATAGAGAGAAAGAGAAAAACCTTACTGGAAAATATCTTTAAATATCTAAAAAACGACAAAGATATTCATATTCAAGGAAGGATGGTGCAATATAAAATAAAGAGAATAAATTAAACCCATTGTGTAGATTAAATGCATTTTCATAACTTGACTCAAATGACTCCCATTTATGGATACTTTTTCAATTGGTATAAGTTTATCAGTACTAATCATAGGTAATTTACTTACTTTAATTAAATTGTAATAACAGTTGAACTTCAGAGTTCTGACAGCTTCAATGAAGAAGTTTAAGTAAGAAACAGGATTAAAAAAAAAAGAAACATATGGCTGAGTCTGAGGTGCATATGCTGTGATCCCTTGGTTCAAAGGTCATTCATCACAATGCAAGTTCTGATAACCACTCTTGCAAGTGATAAAATGCTGCCTACACTTTATACAACATATACAGTTTTGGTTCTTGATAATAACTGTGAACTTGCCAAAACACCTGTCCTTAAAAGCCACTTAAAAATGTAGACATTTAGGGCCTCCCCAGTGGCGCAGCGGTTGAGCACTGGGTTGCGAAGCTGCCCGCAGCCTCTGCAGCGCCGGCTCAATCCCCGGCCACTGGGCGAGGGTCCCACATGGCGTGCAGACCTCTCCTGCCGCCCGCCCACTGCTCCCCTCAGCAGTGTACTTTGGTCCTTCTGCCTGTTCTGCTCTCTGCTTTGGCTCTGGTGAATTTTCTCACCCTCCCGCGCTTCTGACTATACCTAGTGCTTGTATAAATACATAAATAAATCTTAAAAAAAAAAACTTAAAAAAAAATGTAGACATTTATTCTATAGAGCCATGTGTGGGCCTTACACGTCTAATCCCCTTGTGCACGTGAGACCTATAAGCAGTTGCCCACGCTGCTTTACAACAGACCTGAACTTTTTCAAAACTATGAACAGGTCTTTAGGTCTAACTTACTCATATTTAATTTTTGCTTATGTAAGTTCTATGATATTTTATACTGCTGCTTAAAGTTTGCTTTATCCAAATTTCTGAGAAGAGAATTAGACACAATGATCGTTTGTTTTACTAGTTGCTAGGCGATAACACTAATTGTTAACATAACATTTATTGAATGCTTACTGTGTGCCAAATACTATTTTAAGTGCTTTGTACATATTAAATCACTTAACCCTCACAACAACCCTATTGGGTGGATAATATTAACATCTACTTTTTACACATAGGGAAACTGAGGTACAGAAAGTTAAGTAACTTTCCCAGTGTCACACAAGTGAACAAAATTAGGGAATTATACTCAGGTAGTCTGTCTCCAGAGTCCAGACTCTCAATTACTCTGTTATATTTCTTTTCACAATATTTGAAGATACATAAAATTATTATGGACAAAAAAAATCACCATCAAAAATTTTATCAACAGGAATTATATAACAGTTAAGTAATATAAATACCAATACCACTTATCATAGGTTGATACTTCACAGCTATCTCAAAGTTTCATGGCCATGATTAAGAGTTTTGAAGTTGGACAGACCTGGCTTTGAATCTTGGCTGTGCCCTTTACAAGCTGTGTGACTTTGGACAAGTTTCGTAACTTCACCAAGCCTCAGTTTCCTCATCTGTAAAATGAGAATAATAAACATCTCACAAAATTGTAACATTATTGCTATGTTACACTGATCGGGTAACTTCAAACAAAGCACAGGTACACAAAAAAAGAAGAGGTTCTCAATATCCCTCAGAATGAAGGACTTTATTATAATGCTATCAGAAAAATGCCAACTCCAAGGCTATAAGTAAATACAAGATCCACTAAAAGATGTAACTTATAACTATGTTAGTAACTATAAGATCCACATACTAATGCAGAACCACAGTCTCCTCTGATTTATAAAAAATAACCCCTCCCACACCTGATAAAAGTCAAATGCTTACAGATAAATTACTGGATATTTAAAATACTCTCTCTCTCTCTCTCTCTCTCTATATATATATATATATAAAACTGCATATTTGAAATTCTCTCTCTCTCTCTATATATATATATAAAATTGACAGGTAAGAAATTGTTGTTCATTGAGAACAGTGCTCACAAATCCCATTCCACACATTTCTTTTTTCTTTTTTTTTTTTAATTTATTTATTTATACAAGAACTGGGGTACAGGCCAGATGTGTTGAAGGGTGAGAGGATTCACCAGAGGCAGAGCAGGGAACAGAACAGGCAGACTGACGAAATAAACTGCTGAGGAGAGCAGCAGGCAAAACAGGAGAGGTCTGCTGAGCCATGTGGGATTCTCACCGGCTGGTCTGGATCGAACCCGCACTGCAGAGGCTGCGAACAGCTTCACAGTGCGGTGCTCAACCGCCTGTGCCACCAGGGAGGTCCCCCACACATAATTCCTAAGACTAGAAGTATTCAACAGGAAGAGCTATCCAGAAAAATCAATTCCTGACATTGATAGGGAATTTTCATAATGGAAAAACAGAAGTAGTGTAGAAGATGGACCCAGAGGTCACCAGAATACAAGAGCAATTTATTTAAAACCACCTATATCATCTCCATGTTTATACATGTGTTCCATGTTGCTAACCCTTCTCATATGAACTAAAATTGAAAATTCTGTTCATTTCCTTGTAGTCAACAGTTGTTCTGCAAAATGTTAAAAATCTGTTTGGCTTGTGATTTGTTTTTTTGTTTTGCATATTTCTCTCTGTCCCCAAAGAAAATATACAGTTGGTAAAAGGGTAAATATTATAGAAAATAACACAAGGAAAAATTAAGTTATCAAATGGTTTACAAGGTTAGAAACAAGTAACTTGGAGAGTCCTTAAATAAGGCAATTCAGATAGAATATTTAACAGAGCATCTACTGTGTGCAATGCAATCACAATACTCAGTACTAGAGGAGTTACAATCTCTATCCATTAGGTTTCATAATTAAGGGAGGGACTATAAAAATAATTTATAAAAGAACACTGCAAATGTTTTAAAAGAGGCACAAAATGCTGTGGGCTTTAAAAGGGAATACGTTTAATGAGTCAGAGTGGAATTACTTCATTGAAGGTATAGCACTTGAAAAGCAGGATTCTAAAGAACCCTAACATGAATACAAAAGCAATGTAAACTAAAGTGCTTTCCTTTTGTTATTATAGAATTATTGCCTCTTAGTTACTATCAAGATGGAAGACAGAATATAAAAATGTACTAAATAAATCTAAGAAAACATTTCCAACAGGAAATCCATAATAGCTATATCTTTATTTTTTTTTAAAGATTTATTTATGCATACAAGAGCTGGGGTGTAGGTCAGAGTTGCGGGGGATGAGCGAATTCACCAGAGAGAGTGGGGAGCAAAACAGGGAGATGTACTGAAAGACACTGCTGAGGAGAGCAGCAGGCAAGTCAGGAGAGGTCTGCTGTGTCATGTGGGTTGCTCCCTGTCTGGCCTAGGATGGAGCTTGTGCTGCAGTAGCTGGTGATAGTTTTAGAGTGCTGTCTTTAACCCCTGCACCACCAGGGAGGTCCCAGTAGCTGTATCTTTAATTGCCATTTACTTTCACGAATTAGCTTAGGATTTTATAAGAAATTTTCACTTATGTAGTAAAATTAGGAGAAAAATTTTGAAATAACTTAGCTGTTTATTCATTCATTTACCATTCATTCACTTACCCAATTCCTTAAAAAAAGAACTAAAAAGTACAGGGACTCCCCGGTGGCGCAGCGGTTGAGCGCTGGGTTGCAAAGCTGCCTGCAGCCTCTGCAGCGCAGGTTCGATGCCCGGCTTCTCCCCGGCCACCGGAGGAGGGTCCCACATGGCGCGCAGACCTCTCCTGCCCCTGCCGCCCGCTGCTCCCCTCAGCAGTGTACTTCGGTCCTTCTGCCTGCTCTGCTCCCCGCTCTGGCTCTGGTGAATTCTCTCACCCTCCCACGCTTCTGACTGTACCCAGTGCATGTATAAACAAACAAATAAATTAAAAAAAATGCCTCTATTAAAAAAAAAAAAACTAAAAAGTACAAATGGGCACAAAATTTAGCTCTAAGAATAAAGACAGCAAGACACAAAAGAATATGAAATGAGTTACACAGAATCAGTTAATAAGAGGAAGCCTAGTTTTTCATATCTGTTTCTACCTCTAAAAGAATTTAACAGGGGCCTCGCCTGGTGGTGCAGTGGTTGAGCGCTGGGCTGCGAAGCTGCCCACAGCCTCTGCAGTGCTGGTTTGATCCCCGGCCGCCAGCGAGAGTCCCACATGGCGCGACAAACCTCTCCTGCCGCATCCACTTCTCCCGTCAGCAGTGTATTTCGTCACACTGCTTGTTTTGTTCCCCGCTCTGGCTCTGGTAAATTCTCTCACCCTTCCGTGCTTCTGACTATACCCAGTGCTTGTATAAATAAATAAATAAATCTTAAAAAAAAAAATTTTAACAGGGCCTCCCTGGTGGCGCAGGCAGTTGAGCACCGTGCTGTGAAGATCTTCGCAGTCTCTGTAGTGACGGTTCAATCCCTGCCAGCAGTGGAGATGCCCACATGGTGAGGCAGACCTCTCCTGTCTCGCCCGCTGCTCCCCTCAGCAGTGTGTTTCGGTCAGTCTGCCTGTTCTGTTCCTCACTCTGTCTCTGGCAAATCCTCTCACCCTCCTGCACATCTGGCCTGTACCCCAGTTCTTGTATAGATATATCTTTTAAAAAAATAAATAAAAGAATTTAACATATGAATCTTCATGAAAAAGACTCTAAAATGTGTCTTTCATAACAGATTTACAAGATTAGAAAATATTTTTGGTAGATTTTATTAAAGTAGTATAAATGTAGGGTCTCCCCAGTGGCGCAGTGGGTTGAGCGCAGCGCTGTGAAGCTGTTTGCAGCCTCTGCAGCACGGGTTTGATTCCAGGCCGGCCAGGGAGATACCCAAATGGCATGGCAGATCTCTCCATGCAATGTTTTCAGTTCATCTGCCTGTTCTGCTTCCCACTCTGTCTCTGGTGAATCCTCTTACCCTCCCGCACCTCTGGCCTATACCCCAATTCTTTTATAAAAATAAATCTAAAAAAAATTTTTTTAAGTAGTATAAATGTAGAAGATAATGCACAGATTATAAGTGTACAGCTCAACTAATTTTCACAAAGAAACACCCATGTAACTAGCCCCCAGAGAAAGAAGAAAACATTATCCCCATCCTAGAAGCCCTCTCTTCCAATCAATACCCCCTGCCCACAACAAACATAACACTATCTTAACTTCTAACATCACAATGTGTTTTGTCTGTTTTTAAACTCCATAAAAAAAAATCCTACAATATGTTCTATTTTACATTTAGTGATTTCTTTCACTAAACATTATGAGATTCATCATTACTGTTGATCATAGATATAAATCATTCATTTTCTTGGATTGTGTTCATTATTAAAAAGGAAAAGCAAAACTGAATTTATAAAGTTGTGAGGTTTAAATAAGAAAGTAAATATACAGTAATTGGCACAGGAAAAATGACATTCCAGAACATTAGTTCTCTTCTTTTCCTTCTTCTTTATCAAGGTGAAGTAATCCTACCACTAGCCCTATATATTCTGCTTTCCCTTCACAAACCACACAGTTCCCCCTTCATAGAATGTTTTTCTTTTAGTTGTTTTCTCTAATTATACTTATTAAGGTAAAGCTGGTTTACATCACTCTCTTTGTCTACAACTTTTCACCCCATGCCAAACACCAAAGTTCCAACAATTTCCACCATGTTCTACTAGGCCCTCTCTCTTCCCTTCATCCACTCTACATCCTCTCCTTCGGGTTGCTCAGTTTTGCAGTCAGAATTCAAGGGTTTGTTATTGGTGTGGTTTCATCTGACCCTGTGTTTTGTTCCTCTGTATTCCATATGTAAGTGAGAGCATCCACTATTTGTCTATTTCCTTCAGACTTATTTCACTTAGCATTATCCTCTCCAGTTTTTTTTCTTAAAGATTTATTTATTCATACAAGAACTGGGGAACAGGCCAGAGGTGTGGAGGGTGAGAGGATTCACCAGAGACAGAGTGGGGAATGGAACAGGCAGACTGACTGAAATACACTGCTAAGGGGAGCAGCGGGTGAGTCAGGAGAGGTCTGCTGCGCCAAGTGGTAGCTCCCTGGCCAGGGATTGAATTTGTACTGCAGTGGCTGCCTGCAGACAGCTTCCTAGTGCTGTGACTTAATCCTTTGTGCTACCAAGGAGGCCCCTATCCTCTCCAGTTTTATCCATGTTGTGACAAATGGCAAGAATTCATCTTTGTTTCTAATTGAATAGTACAGAATATTTTCCTTTGCCAATCTCTCCCATTCTCAAATCCTACCTCTTCTTCAGAATTAATGCTCAAGTGCCACCTCTTCTGTCTCCTTTGTTATTTTCACCCATGTCACTTAATACATTCTATCTTGTATTTTGTATTCAAATGCATGTTCTCTTGAGGAAAGAGAATGTATCTGATTGGCCTTCATTCCTCTTATTATACAAAGCACTGAGTTTATACAGATACATACTCAAGTATTGTAGCCTACTAGCATAACTCTAGAACTATCATTACCACCAAAGAGTGATTATGTCATCCATACTTGGCATTTTTTTAGTCAAACAAGCTAAACTATC